GATGATTATCGCGGCTCGCTGCCAAATTGGGTAACTCGGTCAAACGGTCTCAGCACCGCGAAGATTTACATACAAATTGAAGTCGCGCGAAGAGCATCGATCGCGGCTGCGAAATATGGTAATCTCGCGCTATGCCGCTGCTGCCATCGATGACTTCGGGAAACGTGCCTGGCAAATTGAATTACACTCGGCGGCGACAGAACCGCCACGCTCCTTCGAGCATGCATCCCAGAGGCACCCACGCGCGATCGATATTACCGATTATGCATCTTTCCGGAGTTTAAAACCCGCCCTACGAGTGTTAAAATTGGATTTTGGCCACGCGAAGCCACGGATCACGGTTAAAGGCGAGGATGGATGGTCGGGGCTCGAGTGGGTCGCGATCGCGGACGTCGAAGGGGAAGGCTATCGGCGCGAAAGACGATAGAAAGCGCATTTTCGCCGTCAGATTTTTTCTCGATCGCGCGTACGATCGGAGGGGCAACGATACCCGGGCGTCAAGACAAGAATCTCGACGTTATGGCCGGACAGCCGATCAAAACGTTTGGCCGGACCGCGGCGCGCAAAACGCGCAAAACAAGAATTGGCCAGAGGGGGGATCGGGTGTTCCCCGTAGCGCGCGATACTCCACGGGCGAAGCTGTTTCGTGGCCACGGATGCCGGGTGTCCGGTCCGTTCGTCGGTGGCTGGTCGCCTGGCCGGGGATGGAATGGAATGGACTCGGCGGAATGGGACGAGGACGGAGGCCGCATTAATAAAACATTAAGGTTTTGTAGACGATGTATCGATGTAGTGTTTATATTATCTTCTTTGATGTCGACATGTGAATTGGACAGATTTGTTATTCAGACTCCGTACATAAAAGTGGTGAAGTCTTGCTCCGCTCCGTTTGTGGACAGGGGCGACTCCGCTCGACGAGCCACGACCACGACGAACGTCCGCGACGGCTCGCCCACGGACGGGCAAACGGAACGAACAAACGCGACGCGGACGGACAGACGGACGGATGGACGGGCTGCTTCCAAGTCTCTTCTGGTTCCTGGCGTCGCCTGTCACTCAACCGATCGGCCGCTGAAGGAACGAGAAACAGCCAGCGGGGACGGGACCGGCCTCCTTCGCGACTTTCTGCGACCGCCGCGGAAAAACTGACGCACCGCCGGCCGCGTTAGAAGTTTGCCAAACGCGGCCGACCGCCGATCCACGCCGGCGTCCTATCGGGAGCCCGTTAATGGCTTTCCAGAGACACCGATCCGCTTTGAAGAAGGGGTCAGTTTTTCCGCCGGGAACGGGAAACCCGTGGCTCTGACACGAACGTCAGCTTTAGACCTTTTGCCCCGTTTGATGTCTTCTGCAATACGATCTTTTACGAGGCGCTGCCCGGTACCGAATTTTGCTCGAACGTCCCAATAAGCGACTCGCTGGAGGAGTCGCGGTTAGCTTTCGATAATAATATTTTTAAAACTCTAGGAACGATATCCTATCCGTTTGAAATAAACACCAGGCATTCCCCGGGTTAGGCTCTCCACGTGCGACGACTACGTCTCCGCTTTATTCCCGAGGAACGCGCGCGGTATCGATACTCGTCCCTCGATGTCGAGAGCTCTCCCGCCGTGTCCCCTCCTCTGAACTCGGCACCGTGATCCCGAACCTTGACTCTTCATTAATCACCCCGCGGTATCAATGACTGACTGAGTGACTGACGCCAGCCGAGAGGTATTATATACCTAAGGCGTTCGCGCGAAACGCTCGCTCGATTTCCGACGCGGATTTTCCGTACGGGACGTGGAAAGTCGGAAGTCGACGGTCGCGCGAGTTCCTGAAACTGACGTCGGAAATTCTCTAACTTCGTGTCAAAGATCAAAGTGAAATGATTCTCTTGATCGAGACACGATCATTTTCGTTGTTATGCAAGGTGATGCTTGAAAAAGGGGGGTTTCTCTCGAAAAACTAAATAAGTAACTAGATGCGACTAGATGTTGGACGTATGCTTCCTATGAAAAGAAACGTGTTAGCTTATCTTAACCGCGAGAAACCGTTCAAGCGTGCAGCTATCTAGCGGTGTTACCTTTTTTCATACAGCACCTATCAGTTAAAGGTTACATAATACCCAAGAAACAGATTACTATGTCTTACATTAATTAATATCACCGTTTAATAGATAAGACTGCTATGTTTTAATTTATGTTTAAAAAATATGAGCTGATATTTATTTTATATTTGCACACAGCGTTATTTCGCGCTATCCATCAGCCTCGTTCACGATGTACACAACGGCGATTAAATTTCACCTACCTGCGTGATCCACTGTCGTAGCTAGATCGTTAACGACTCGAGCTAGATCGGTTCAATACCCAACTCCATTTTTATCGAGCTTAATCACCGCGGACACTCGCGCCCCCGTTGCAGCCCCGGCAATCACCGATCCACGATTGCCCGTGGATCCAGCGAAACGGAAAGAATCGATAATTCGACGGCGCCGGAGTCGGTTCACCGTTCGTTCCGTGCGGTCTATCGTTACGATCTGGAGAACGAAAGTCACGGTCGTCGAGGCGCAACGCCAGGCTAGAGAGAGAGTCGGAATCGAGCCGGGCAGACCGATCGAATCTGCGCCGTCATCGTCGGTAGCATGGTGAACCTCTTGGAGGAACCGAGGTAAAGAGACAGAGAGAGAGAAATAGAGTGTTGCTCGCGGGGATCGTGACTTGCGTTCGGGCCTTGTCTTCTCTTGTCTCCTTGTTACACGACTCCTGTCCGTTTCGGTAGTTTTCGTGGGTGTGAGGTTGCTTTATCACGCGCGACCCCCCGTTGTTGTCACGCGATCTTATCAACCCCGTCTCGAGCGTATCCACGTCGATTCCGGCCGCGCACGAATCTCACGATGCACCGATCTGGAATATCGATTCGTTTCCCTTCGAGCAGCGTCGATTTCCTCGCGATCCTACTTTCGAGGATCGCCGTCGATCGGCTCGATAAAGAAATCAAGAAGCGTGCAGGATGACTCGGATTCCCCGAGACAAGGCGAAAATGAATTTGCTCTAGGCAACGATCGGATAAGCGATCGCGGGAATCGCCGCCCGATCTCTTATTAAGAGGGGGCAATTATTCCGCGCTGGTTGCCGCTTGTTATCTTCCCGATGTCCGCGGAGAAACTATTATTCACCGCGAAATATATAATCAGCCGGCCTTATTATCGATAATTACGGATAATACTCGGCCGATTGAAATTAAGACTCGACAGCGTGGAACGTGGCCAATTAAAGAACGATCGAGCCGAGCGGAGAAGAAACCGCGCGCGACTGATAACCTCCGGATGGGCATCGCTCGATCTTTCGACTCCGAATGTTATCGCCGCGGCCTGGAATTTAAGCAACGGGAGTCCGCGCCCGATGCGCGAGCCGTAAATATAACAATTATCGATTTACGAGTCGCCGGTAATTAACAAGATTTTTATACGTCGCCGCTCGTCGTCCCGTTGTGTTATTCCAGCGATTAACGAGCAATTCATAAAACCCTATCGCAGAAGGAGAGACGGTCGCGCTATCGTCGACGGTATCTCGTAATGCGCAATATTCGTTGTAATTGAACCGAAACCTTTCCTCTTACATGCGATATTCCACGAACAAATTGTGCTGCCTCGAGCCCGCGTACTCGAATCGTCGGTTTCACAGTCCGAGGGACTTTAAAATACTTTTGAAATTTTAATTTGACCAGCGCTGAATTCGTGACTGGCTTCAAAGGCAATAAAGTAGTAGAAATAAACACGCAATAAACGAAGAAGATATCTGTTTCCCCTGACCGGATGCAAGGGAATACATAAATGCACTTCCTCCTCGAGAGACGTGTTAATTGGAATTTACATTTCGAAATATTGTACGAGAATCATACTCGACTGACAGCTCGAGCTCGCCGTCTACCTTTGTAAATGATATCCGAGGATCTAGCTTTTGCATCGCCATGTTCTGTCTTGTTCGGTCTTCTTTGAGCAGGCAAAAGCTTGTTTTATAATAGCGATAAGCCTTCGAGATAGTTACGGTTTAGTAAAATGTTCAGGTCTTCTTTGACCGTAGTTTCATTATCGCACAGACCTCTTTCTAGCTTACAGTCGATTCCTCCACCATATGACTGTATCCTAAATTGTCACCCATCTTGAGAAACAGATTATCTGCAAGTGTACTCGAATAGACGAGAAAAAGATCGGTGAAGTAGACAGATATGGTACAATATGGATGGCCTTGGGCGGCCAATTAATTTTGATGAGATCGTAGTCGTGAACGTTGTCCAATCTTCGATGGCAAATGATTATCCTGCGGGTGTCGCAAAGAAATGATGTAGCAGTCAGTGTGTTTCTGTACGTCATACCATTTAATAATTACAATTTAAATTATATAATTATACGACCTTACGCGTACGGTGCTCTAGGTTACGTAGATGTAATAAGTAGGTATTTTAGTTAGACTATTACGTATATTACATGGAATGAAGTAACATTTGAGTCTGACGCTACACGAACGTAATACTTGAGCTTAATTTAAAGTGGAGAACGCATCCTTCGCACCTGACGAGTAATATAGCTTTCGTTTACGTTTAACCCCGTTTCTTTCCTCCTCGATCCTTCGATCCGGCGACGCGTGAACGGACGCGAACGATGCAGTCGAGTTTGGATACGAAGGAGAAGAAAGTCTTCCGCGAGAACTCGAAGATCGTGTATCTTTTACGACGGATTCTTTCCCTTATAGAGCACGAAAAACCGAACTCTTGCATTCATAGGTACGGAACGTGTTGTACGACACGCGGCGTGAACAACGAAAAAAAAATAATAATAATAATAATAATAATAACGAAACAAATAAAATACAATATTAACACTGGACCAAGTCATTAGCAACAGGCTCACTCTCAATAGAATAATAGCGATAATATCAATAATTTCAATAATCATCGTAATAATATTAATAATAATAATTATAATCCTCACTATTCTTTTTTTTAAATATCCCTATAGGGTACCAGGCGATAACGAAAGAATTTCTAACGTCGAATTTACTTCAATTCGTCGACTAACTTTACCTTCTAATTACGTCAAATATCACATAAAGAAATAATCGTGTCTCGCGTGGCTCGTATACTTTTCCCTTATCGGCTGTAAAAATGAAAAATAATTCGCGGAATCGGTTCGTTCGTTAACGCCTCGTACGATAATAACGTCATTCGATATCGTGTTATCATATATTCAATAGCTATGTACAATTCAACATTAGCCTACTCTTACATCTCTCTTCCCGCCTTGTTCGATTTCACCTTACAATTTCTGACCTCTCTCTCTATCTCACTCTAAATCTCGATAATATACTTTAGATCCCTGTATTCTTCCGAATTTGCTTCGCGTATCGCGCAGCTCACGACATCTTACTAAGCGCGGAGCGACTGTTAATTGCTTTTCATTATTAGATTTTTCGTATCGCACGATAACCAATTAACCCGCGCTTCGCTCGCGAACACGCTATCTAAATTCATTTACACACCTGCCGTTTTGTTCGATTAGGTCGCCGAGGGATCCTCCAATTCCTCCTCCTCCTCTTCCTCCTCCTCGTGACAGCTGCTCCTTTTTCGTCGGTTATTTGTTCGCTCGTATCGCGCGTTGCGCGTTCGCGTGTGCGCAACCAAACGGTAGGCGCATGCGCGGCCGCGAACTTTCGTTCGCAGAGCATCGACATTCGACGAGTTTCTATGATTTTCGATTAGAAAACTATGTATCTTTCTGCTCAATTTTTTAATACAATTGCATCGCAAAGCGAAGAGATATTTGCCGTACGCTACGTGTCTCGAATTTCCATCGTTGTACGTCGAAACGCGTTGCTCTGGCGAAGTGATCGCGCGCGATACGCTGAAGAATGTCGTCGCTCGTTTCGTTCGATCGCAGCGCAGCAGAAAATCGAGGAAATAATAATTCGTAAACGGACGTTACCTGGCGCGGACCTCACAGACGTAGACTAATTGCTTTCTTGTACGATTCTCTGGAAACTGGCTCGACGGAACCAAACGAACGACCTGTTTCGCACGAAGTCAACCTACATGTACGGACTGTTCAGGAACAATGCCGGTCGGCTGCCTCGGGGGGAACGTGGACTACATTATTATATTTACAGAGAGACGGCTGATTCCTCAGCTGCCCACCGTTTCCTTCTTAACGTCGTACTACAAATTCAGTCCATTATACGTATCTAGAACTCGACACTGTCACGCGAGGGAGTACAGAATGAAAAAACGCTATATATCGAGAAGAAAAAAACGAAGAAGAGGAACGAGCGTAACTTTTATAGGTTTCGGGGCAAAGTGACGCGTATACATTCCCGATTAATTTGGCTTAATGCGTTACGATGCAGCGAACGAGAGTCACGGTCGCGCGTCGACCGCGTCGAGGACTTTGCGTTCCCGCCATCTTAAGCGACCGTTCCTTACTCCCTAGTAAAATACTACGCGATTCGTCGGCCGTGAGTGGTTCGGGGTTTCCTACGAGATTCGCGGGGCGTCGATCTAACGGACGTTCAAACATTCAGCAGCCTCTATCGAAAAACGGCAGAGAATACGTCGAGTATTAATAGGCACCTTACGTACTACGAAGTAGAGACTTTAACGTGCACATAGAAACTACGCTTCACCGGGGGAGGCTGCGTCGATCGCGTAGTTGACCGCGAATTTAGACTTTGCATTCACGCGTCCCGGATTATTCGTGCACGTTTTCGATGTGCTTAATCGATCTGGTTTGCTCCGTGATAATTGTGATAAACGTTCTGCGATTTGGTTTTACAATTCACCGTGGATCATTCGGGATGCGGTATTGCAATGGCGAAATTCGCGTTGAGCCACCCCCGATGAACACGCTCTGAGAGACAGATCGAACGAGCGAAAGAAGAGGAAGTGGAAGAAGAAACAAGGAATAAGTACATCAGCGCATCGTCTGTTCGATTTTCGTTGGTTTTCAGGAGACGGGGATGGTGTGTTTACGGGGATAGGATGGGTGGGAGTGATTCAGAGATGCGAAACAGTGTGCAGCCAGGCAAGATAATTAATTAATTAGTCGTTGAATTAATTAATCACTTAGACCGCTAATTTCTACGCCTTAAACTACTGATTCGGTTTTATCTCACCCGCTGAGGTGGCCTCTCGTACGCGTTCAACACCGGTACTTCGTAATCTAGTCGCGACGAGAGCCCCTCGGAGCGCGTCCAGTCCATTTAATCGGGCGCACGGCGTGCTTGCAGACAATTTTTTTGGCTTCCCTTCAACTTCGAATAGTACTACCGTGTTCGGAGTGTTTCGCGTACACAGACCGATGCTGACGGGTCACGGAACATCGTGATATTAAAATTTCGAAATCGATAACGTCGAAGGTAGGAAAAACAGGTACTACAAAAACAAAAAACAGAAAAGGGTCAAATCCGAGTTAGGTGGAAGCAACAAGACTACACGATAAGAGTCTCGAAACACGGACGTGTCGTTCCACGGGTCTCCCGTGGCAAAAAATCCCGAACCCTTTGGTCCCGGCGTATCGGAGGATGCCTCCGCCGGGCAGAGGGGAGATGGGGGGGAGGGAAAAAAAAGAAAAGCAAGCAGAAGGACAAGTAGAAATTCCGCTTGACGAGTGACAATCCGTCGAGGCATCGGTGGCCTGTGTCAGACCCCGTCGGGTCTCACCACGTGTCCTACTGGAAGTGAAGTGTCTCGGCCCGGTGGGTCACGCGTGACGTCGGTGACCCGACCGGGCCGAAAGCGGAAAAAAGCCTTTTAGAAGTTCTGCTCGCCGTACATCCCAGGGAACCGGACAGCGTGTGCTCCGAGCTCGGCGGGCGAGAACTCGTCCTATGTGGCCAAATGAGCGAACTGGCCTGGGTGGGGCGCGAACTGGTAAGGGTGGCCGTACGGCGACATGTGGTACGGTACAATGTTCATGCTCGCCATCTTGTGCTCCTTTTTCCACTTCATCCGCCGATTCTGGAACCAGATCTTTATCTGACGTTCCGTCAGGCAGAGGGCATGTGCGATTTCGATGCGACGCCGCCTCGTCAGGTAGCGGTTGAAGTGAAACTCCTTCTCCAGCTCCAGCGTCTGATACCTGGTGTACGACGTCCTCTGTCGTTTCGTCTCGCCGTTCGCGTTCACCGTGCCTGAAAACCAAATTGCTCGATTAGAGGATTTTATAGACAGGACGATCTACAGCAATGCTTGGATAATGTTTATCTTTATGTTAGTGGGACTTTAGCGATATATTCGCGAGGTTTTTCCGTGTAAAATAAGTCCAAACACGATGAGGTTACAAGGAGTCTTCACTTATCCGATCGAAACTCAGTTGCAGTTATCCGAGCATTGACTTCGAATCGACTTAATCTTCAGGGGTACCGGTGACTCGTGATACGGAGTGCTCAGGAAACATTGATAGTCGGATCGGACGCAATTGATTAGTCAAGGCCGTTTGCTCTAGCGAGGAATCACATCGAGCACGACTACCACTTTTACACCAGGCTAATAGGGGTCGTAGACTCAACGATTTATCGAACGATGTGTCGTGCGTCGAGCGGTAATGATAGTCATATTGCGGCGCCATACTGCCATTCAACACTATGTCTGCGACAGGTTGTACAACGCTTTACAATTATCGTCGAAATAATCGTATCAACCGAAATTATATAACTTGCCGCACGATAAATCGGTGTGTCTGGAGAACCCTGTAACTTGTCTCTCTATTTGCTGGCTAGTTTATGTTCCCATACACGAAGATCGAGGTCGAGGTAGTTGAATGAGTTCAAGGAGCAACCTTGAGCACGAGGCCTCCGACGACTGTTTGTCACAAATTTTCACGTATTTCGATTATTGTCGATTATTATTCTGATATATAAAGTTTAGGACGTATTTGTCCGTGTTCGTGTTTATTGGCGCGCGTAATTAGCCTTGCTTAGGGCGCATAATCGTCTGGCACCGACCCTGCTGGCATGTGATCCAAAGTCACATCCTGGTACGATCAGAGTCAACGTAGGTGCACCTGTTCGATCAGGTTTACCTAAATTGTTAGGTTGAGTCGCGAGTAGTTTCCAGTGCAACTAGTGATTTATGACTGTCCTCATAAATTTCAAACGATCCATAGTCCGGCATGGCCTTTGCGTTTACATGGCGTTCAAGGGTGTGCTAGTTTAAAAACAGTCGTCCCCCGGTATAGATCGCAAACACTGCTTCACGAGTGATTGAAACAGTGGCTTCTGCATTATTGCCTACGAATTGAAATTGCCCATTAGTAGACAGCCTCGCCACGGTAGCCGAAAAATTGGGTCACCCATGACAGTCTGTCAGGTTGACGAAGGAAACGAGCGAGCTCGGCGGAACTCAAAGCAAATCTCAGTCGAAGACTCCTCTGTGCGAGTGTTGGGACCACAAAAGATTAATTCATTACGAGTTACTGCGACGTTACGAAACACGACAGCACTTTATGTTCGGCAGTCGGAGTCGAAGAAAAATTGCGAGAAAAAGTACCAGCACTCGTGGATCCTAAGGGCTTGTCGCTTCTGCGCGACGATGCCACACGCAGCGAAGATCCGCTGAAAAAGTTAACTCCAAAGTGCAGCCAAAAATTTTTCTAGTCCTCCAAGGTTTGCGTAAGAAAATGGCGACTGCTTATGACTGGACTCGATATCCTTTCTCTCCGAAAAAGTGTTGATAATCGAGTGGGCTCGCGATTCGCGCAACGATTCCAACCCTCGCGGTTCAACGTGTCCGAGCGGTGTTGTTGAATTGATTGGACGCGTGTTGCAACGCTAATCGAGAGGAATACAAAAAAGAAGGATACCGTGTACGGTCGAATACGGTTGAAGGGATCGCGATACACCGGGTAAGCTCGTATCGAACGAAGGGGGAACAAAAGGGGACGATCAAAGGCGCGCGGCGCATAATAGCGGGGGCTCGGCGTGTAACGCTTCGCGAGTTCGTTAATTATTTCAACGAGTTTAATGCATCGACCGTTGCTACTGGATCGCGAACTAGTCACTTGGCAGCTGTTTTACCTATTTGCTCAGCACGCCCGTGCCATAAATAATTTTGCAACGCTGTTATTACGATACTCCGCCTATTACACCTATCTCCCTCGTGTTGCAAAAGCTACGACTATCTGGTAATGAATGGCTCGGGCAACGAGCATCGGAGAAACCTCGAGGCCGGCTTTAAATACCAATAACCTGTTACTTCTGCTTATCCAGCACCGCGGAACGACTGGTCGTGAATAAATACTCTGATTCAGTCGCGGGACCTTAATATTCCAATTGCGTGATAGCCGAGATTTAACGCTTCAGTTTTGCCGGTGGAAACGGAGAATTACATAATGAAGAAGTCAATTATCCGTGAACCGATCCTTTGATCGTGGATTTCTGCATAGGGTCGCTGGTTAAATGTAACGCGATCGCGTACATTTTCTTTATCGGACCGTGTATGTACTTCAAAGTCACTCCAATATAATTTATATCCTGTCCAGTCGCTCTCTGGATGGAAGCAAACAATAACCGCGAACGTACACACAATAAGAACGACGCATACTCCGAGGGTGAAGCGTCGACAATGAGAAAAAGAACTTTATTTACTAAAGATTCCGTTAGGAATAGTGAAAGCGATAGCAAGAGTGCTCGGGGAATGGCTAGAACGTTATCTCTGAGAGTTTATACACGTAATGGGTAAATTACAGTTTCCTGCAAGATGAATGTTCATGATTATTCAATATGTTACTAGTACTCGATCAACTCAAAGTACAGGAAAAAAATAGTGCTTCGGTATTTTACTCGCAGCTCGACATTTATCAATTTATGACGGTTTCACGTCTAGAAATTTGCTATCCCGGGCAAATTAATTCGAAAAGCATGCGCTTATCAAGGAATGCGCATAAATCGTCTAGGGGACTATTAATAGGAACAAGTTACTCATCCTAGAAGCGACAAGTTGTTTGCTCGAACGATAATGCCTTCAATTTCAATCTCAAAAAAGAACTGTAACGTCGTTATTGTACAATAATAAATTTTCCGTTGAACGAGTTTTCCCGTGATTCATCTTGCTCGAAGATAAGGGGGGAAAGATTCCTTTCTAAATTGAATATGAAAGTAATTCATTTTTATATATCTGGTTGGTGGAATGGAAGTGTCTTTTCTAGTATCGAAAGAATTAAATTGTATGGTGTTTTGGGAACGGAGAAAGTCGAACGTTTTGGATCATTGATCGAAGCAGGTGCTAAGCGAGACGGGTTCGCGCTTCTAACATCGTAGATCCATGTCAATGCGGATATTAAAGAGTCGGCTCATTTACAGCAATAATGAACACGCTATTAATAGCAACGCAAGAGGGAGAGCTGAGTGCGATTCGCTGAGGGACTGCGATGCTGCCGCAAGAACTGCAACAGTCGCGTGTGCGAAAAACAAACTATCCAGATGGGCGCGAAAACATGAAAAACATAAACACGACGTAAGAAAACACTGCCGGCTCGAAACATCGCGAACGCAAAGTACTTTGGAAAGGTTCGTCGTTGGTAGGAACAGATGCTGGAGGACGAGAATTAATTGGTAGGATCGAGTTTGGTTAAAAAATTTTGAGAGATTCGTTTAAAGAATCCTCGTTTCGTCCAATCGTTGCGCTATTGATCTTTCTACGGTTAAGCTACATCGATCGACTAACCACGACCCACTTAAGCCACAATTTGAATTCAATGACAGTACTTGTTCGCATTTATGGTTTCACCTGGCTTTGGGAAGGCATAATGGACAATGCCAAGTACAGACCGTTAAACGGTTGCCATAATCTGTCTTGGGCGGAGACTTCGGCACGTGTGTCGGTGCTTAACAGGTGTCCCCCGTTCATTTTTCATTGCAGTTTATAATTGAACGTGTTTTTATTACGAATCGATCCATTTATCCACCTTTCCTCTATTAAAAAAAATATATAAAACAATCGAGCGATTTTCTCGCAAAGCTTGTGAAAATTCATTCGCGACTAGGGAGGGGTTTTCGGGCTTCCGGTGTAACCCTTGGCGAGGTTTCGACGCGGCGGCGGGCGTCGAGGTGTCCAGCGAAGCTTAATGACCGAACCCTTCGAGCATCGCGTTATCGCTTTCCTCCCGATGTAGCACGTCCCCGTCCTGACTTTTTAATAAATAGTGGTCCGGCTGTCTGGCTGCGCATCTCGTTTATTCGGCACACCTAGCCGTTTTGTAACGGACGAACGGAATTCCTTTTTCTGGCCGGGCTCATTATTATACGACAGTCGAACGCGCGAACTTAGACGGCACGCGCAACCCCGAGGTCCGTGAACGAGGCCTGGGGGGACCGAGCGTGCTCGATCGTCCTCCCGCATCCTCTCTATGGATCCTTTCTGGTGATTAATTGCTATCCGTGTCCCGCTGACGTCGATACAACCTATGGCGCGCCGCGGAGACAATCTGGACTCTCGTTCCTAGCTACGGTCACTCGGTTCCTTCTTCAATCCCCAAACTGGATAAATAGCATTCAACGACGAATCAACAGTTTTTAGCCATTTGCAAACACGCTTCGTAAATTCATTAATAACACGGTAGTTTATAAGCTGGTACAGTCCAGGTATTCGAGGATGAAAGAGGGCCCAGCGAGGCCTCCTTTAAATAGACGAGTACACGGTAAAAGCCAAGGGTGGATCGGGGAAAAATGGCGGTGTGTCAATCCGAAAGGGAGTCGCACTTCATCGCGAGCATCGTGAACACGGATCAAACTATTAGTATAAACCCCAGCGCCGCTAGGGTATGTCATCGAGAAGGACAACGCGCGCGATGCTTTTTCTAAATCCTCGCCGATGATTAATGGCTATACGCGCGCGCGTTTCGTCGACGTCGCATCGGGCCACGGCTGAAAGAATGCCACGACCAAGGATTCGCATCAACAAAGCCACGGACGGTGCTCCGGCGCAACCGAGTGCCGCCTTTTGAATAATCTGAATGCGCTCGCGGATCCGTATTCGACGCGAGCCGCGAACAAAGCGTACGCGGATAATGATCCATTATCAGCCGGTGATAAAGATAGCCGCGTACCGGCCTGATATTCCGTGACTCGAATGCGTGGCCGGGTTGAAATTTCTTTCTTTCGAGGCCTGACCCGATGATTAATCGCTGTCCCTG